AAACCCAGCAAAGTCTCATTTGGGTTTTATTGAAAAACCTAAACTGGATTTCTTCAAAATTGGGCCTTTCATTTTTAAATAGAAATGGTGAAAAGGAATTCCTTCCCTATTAGCTATAACAGTGTCTACATTCGAAGGTGTAATTTCATTGTGAGACTGGTAGACATGTCACCCTCAATAATTTACATAAAGGATTTGTCCCTCTCAGTGTCACTAATAATCTTATGCTTCATCGAATGGTTAACGTATAGCAACAGGGAGTAATCAGGGAGAACATGTCTACAAGTCGCTCAGTCGTATTACTCTGGAGATGCGGGGGTACTTAAACAAATGGCTGTATTTAGCACATTCATTTTATTATTATTTACTTGTAACCACCATGAAAACCAGTTTTGCCTTTTTTTTTCTTATGTAGCAAAATGGGCCTGTAACTGCATTTTGTTGGAAACTTAAATGTAGAGGTAAATACATTAGATACATATCTGATTTAGCCCTTAACTGGATTTAGGAATTAAATATACCCATGTGCTGAGAAATAGGCATGTTTTGTGTATTAACACATAAGGCTTATATATTATTTTCAGTATTTCTCCATTAGGTTGGAATTGTAGACACCACATAAAATCCTGTGAGGCAACATGTCTGATGGTTTCCTGCCAACTACAGCAAAATGTCATAACCCAAATATTAAAGTCGGCAAAACTGTTGACATTTGTTCTAGCGTGACCTTTCAGACTGAGTCATTGGCAGTGACACATTTCTAGGTACAAATCTAGCTTTGCAAATGCATGTTGTGCAAACAGTAACAATTTCAGGCTCATGAGTTCGGATTCATACAAAGGCCATGCTGAAAGCACATAATGCAGAATTATCCATGGCAAAGCACTGATTTAATCATTACTGTCACATCGAGTCCATGCTCTTAAAAAAAGTTCAATTGTATTTCATTATTTACTGCTGCTTATACCAATCTGCCAGAATAAGTAAGTCAGTCATGAGTATTATGTTTGTTTTACACGGAATAAACTGCATTTGAATTTCTTATCATGTTACAAAACAAAGAAGAACAAGTGGAAGTACGTATATGTTGTGCCTTGGGGACATGAATAAAAACCTAATTTATAGAGAAAAGATAACCACGCATGCCTTTTCTATGTGCACCCTACCCATCTCTAAACTATGCTCCAGATCATAGATAACGTCTAGATCCTCTTCTCTGTGCAATGATAATCTCACTGTAATTACAACTGAATCGTTGATGTCCTCTGTTCCACAGAAGCCCATTGTGGGGGCACTGAAAGTCATATTGATTTATGTTTTATTGCTGGAGTCTATATTGAAGTGACACCAAGCTTCTACTGCACTGAAAAAGAGAAATATATTTATGTGCATATATCTGTTCCTCCTCTGCAGTCCTTAATGCTGCGTTAATCTCTCGGCCATCTCTCTGTTTTCCTTCCTTCTTTTTTCCTGGCTCCCGTTCTCCTCCACCCTCCCCAGGTTTGCCCAATTCCCTCTCGGTTCAGCGGCAGGGCACTGGGTCACGGCACTGGCTTGATTTTCACACTGTTCCCACTACTGAACGCCACATCAAGTTAATCAGGGTTAACAATTGCGGCGGTGCCTTGCTGAGCAGGGCTCCCATCGGCTTAGCGTGGCCTAGCTCTGGTGATACAGATGGGCTAGTAATCTGTGATCGTGGAGCAAAGGGGACGGGTGAGGTTAGAGGCACATCGTGGCTGCTTGGGTGGGTGATGCCGGGTGTTTAATTGTGAGAACACAATTAAAGCAGACACACAGGAGGTCTGTCATGAAATCGGGAGATTGGAGTTTAATGAGTAGACATTTCCTGGAAGCAGGCCGGCAGAGGAATGGTTTAATTTTAAATAAGAGATAAACCCCTGTTTTACAGGAATAATTAAATACTAGTTTCCTAACTCAAAATAAATACTGCTAGATATAATGTATATTTGGCTGCAACATTGAACATTTCTTTTTCCACCATCCACCAATATTTACTCAACAAACACATTTGATACCTTTAGAACAGCTATCTTCAAACTATTTTTATTATCTGAGGAATTGAAGATTCAGACATTAAGGACATTAGAATAGTGCTACAATGACAAGAAGACATTAGTATTCCTTTCACAGATCGGCCGATAGAGTTTGAAAAGGTGTCCAATGTGACTAAAGTTTCCTTTAATCCCTCATGTGCTGCTTTACTCTAATTAAACACAAGGGTCAAAACTGGTAACAGAACTAGCAAAAAGTCAAGGTTCAAAAAGACCATCAGAATAACTAATCCAGTTTATGATGTTTCAAGATCAAAGAGATGTAGAAAACTTTGGGCAAGGAAACCTCCAGTGCTGGAAATAACTGAAGCATTCCAGATTTGGCAAAACAGAACGCTATAATAGCAGCTGGCTAGCCTGAGTCTGAGTCTAGGGTGCCCCGGCCATAGGCTTTGCTTAATTATTCATCCAGACAGAAAAAGAAGCATTACACAACCCGAAAAGAGGTACGGAGAAAAAATACTCTGCGTGTCACACAGCCTTGGGTGACCGGAATGAAGGTCTGACTTCCATTTCTTACAGTAGATTGTATTTTACCTTTTGTTATGGATCACTTCCTGTCCCAGCGCCTCCATTTTCGCCCGTTATATCCCAACTCAAGCACTCTTCTTTTCCCTTTTTCCCCGTAGCCATCTTGCTTTCCAGATGTAGCACCTCTTCCGAGTGGTGACACATGTATTATTAACACAAGATTCAAGTGCTTGCTGCAAAGGGACACTCACAGACTTTCACAGGTTTCTGTCGGTGCCACCATTTTGATTTGGCTGTGGCTCGAGCAGTTTTTCCGCAAAAAGAAGAATCCCTGACACCATTGAACAAACTAAATATTTCATACGTGCGGCAGCTCAAAAGCTTTGAAGTTCAGGCTTGGGAGCACACCTATCCATTTATTACCCATCACAACTAGCATCATGAAAGTCTTATAATGACCAAGTTAGAGGTGTTATTCTTGAACTTCTAAGTTGTCCCTTGAACAGAGAGAATGTCATGTAAAGTGCAAGAAAAAAAGTGGTAAAAGTGGTGATGCTGCAGTGTGGCTTTGTCCACACTTCCACGAGTAAAATATGTATGTTCGGCTGATCTGCAATATTCAACAAGCCCCAGTGTTACAACGCATCATCCGAGCACGTCCTTACACTACCCCAACCCAGTTTGTACGGGTCAATCAGTGATCAAGCCTGGGAATGAGATTGGGGGGGGAAAATAAGTTTAGGACCCAGTGAACTCCAGCTGCCCTCGCTGCCCTCTTTCTCCAGAAAACACAGTTCATCAAAAGTTCACATCTATTATTATCTTTGAATTTGGCTGTATATGTCTCGTAACATTTGGCAGGGAAGGAGGAGTGAGCTTACCAAACTTACCCCGACAACCACTGCTGATATGACACACGACGTGTTCTGCGCTTCTGACCCTGATAGGCAGGGTCGTTGTTCGGTCAGACTACCGCTATAGGCTGTGTGTGTCTGTGTGTGTCTGTGTGTGATGGGTGGTGGGGGCCCAGTTTAATAAAACAAAGTGTGAAACCCCAAAATATCTCTGTTACTGGCCCTGTGTCATAACATTTCTGAGCCCGCCCCGCCCAACATAAAAACGGGTTCACATAGAGTTCAAGTCAGAGGCCACGCCCCCCTCGCCATGGCGTCAGCAGACAGACGGCGCGACGTCACAGGTGAGAAAGACCCCAACTCTCCCAGTTTCTGGCTCTGCCGGCTAGGCTGCAGCGACCCCCAGTGGGGCCGGGTCCCCACCTTTTCACACTGTGTTAACAACTCCAGGTTTAGAAATGTGCTCGGTTTCACTTTTGTTAAACATGTTTGTGGTTTAAAATCATCTGAAAACTAAGGTTTATGATACTAAATTCCTTTTTTTTTTTATTATCAACAATTCGTTTTTTTTCTAAATTTGAATCTCATATTTTATGATAATTTATTATTTATAATTTCCCAAAAGTTAAATACAATTTTCAATAATTCATTTTCAATAGATAATGCAGCATGCCATTTATAAATAACAATTCACAAAAATGTGTGATTTGCAATTCTGAATTTAAAATGAATTTGAAAACATTTAAAATGTGTAATTAATTCTGTATCCTTGATTCATTATGAAGACACAATAAATAAAAGGTAAACATCATTTCTTTTTTAGAATATTTGTATTATTTTATTTTAAGTACACAGTTCATTTATAGTCTTGTATTTATTTACAAAGTGATCATATTTAATTACTATGAAAATGATCTTTTCTATATAAAATGATTCTATGATTCTACTCAATTGAAATTAAATATAGTGTTACATGCAATGTCATGTATTAGGAAGATACATTTTCATAAAAACGTCTTACATTTTAATATGTGACATTACCCTACTATTACGACTTTAGTTGTCTTTGTTTTAAATCAAATTTGAGACGGGTATTATTTTAATTTTAATATAATATAATTTTCATTGTCAATATTTGTTCCTTTTAATAATAAAAATATAATTATAATTAGTTATTCAAAACAAAATATGTTTATTTTTTTACTGCAGGTGTAAGCTCTCTACTAACCCTGATGAAAGTGTCACTACAACTTTAAAAAAATATTAAGTTATTCATTTTTACAATAAAAACATTTGTATCCTTGTAAAAAAGACTACAACATTTTTTTTTTTTTTTTTTTTAAATCCCACTTTAAGAAAACGGCTTACATCCTAAATTGTTCTTGTTTTATATATTTTGTCTTTAATCTATAGGCCTTTATTTTGATGATATGTATATGTGAAACAAAAATGGCATACAATTAAGAATTCATGTTAAACAATTGTTTTAATGTTTGATTAAATTATTATTATATTTTTAAAACGTATTTTACTCTACACATGCACTCATTTCACTCTAGAGAATAACAAAACACAAGGCAATATAGAGTATAGTGAATATTTATTTTACTTGTAACACAAGTAACACATAAAAAAAGTTGTTCATGTAGGGGTTCATAAAATATCTAATAAATAGATGCATAATAAATAAACAGTCTCATAATTCATAAAGTTGTTTGTGTAAAAAAAACTGAACAAATTATAAAGAGGTACACCACAAAATGTAAAGCCTTAATATTATTTGATTTATTAGTGTCTGTTTTCTGTACTGCCATCTAAAACCGTGAAAGGCTGTTTTTCTACAACAAAGTTCCCACCCCAGCTGTTTTTCCCTAGACGTGTATTTGTGACACCGTTATCTATGGAGTTATGGTACAGACTGCGATCATAACGCTCAGCAGTAACAACAGGGATATACTTTAGTAGACTAAGAGCTCCCACTAGTGTTACACAATGGTACTGCTCTGTTTTTTCAAAGCAGGAAATGTTATCCTTTATTCGCCCTCACAGCAGGAATATTAGATCTTGAATTAACAACCTTCAACCAGGGTTTGGCAAACCTCCATAGTATTTAGTGTTTCCCTTAGAAAGTGTATTACTGGTATTTAAAGTAATGTTTCAAATAAAGATTTCTGATTCTGAAATACCATTGAAACAGAATTTCTATCACCATGGCATGAAAAACCGTTTAAATACATTTATTTAATATTTTGTGTTAGTTTTAGTAGTTCTTTTAGTGACCAAACATATTGCTTCAATAGTAGAGGCAAGAATAAAAGTATTAATTTCCAAAAACACACAAATTTAAAACAAAAATAATCGTTTCTGTAAATATTTTGCTGTTCAAGGAGAAAGCTTCCCTATATCAGATGTAAATGGAATAAATGTGATTAAAGAAGTGGATTTAAATTATATTTTGTCAAGGTTGAAATAACGGACGGAAACCATTCATCCAAAGCTTGCACACACTGTGTCAGCAGGACTCCATATTTCCATGGGAAATGTATACATGCACCATACGAGTGCTTTGATCAGCCTCTGCACGCAAAGTCCAAGTGTTAGGTTAGCCCTCAGGAGGTGATGAGAGAGGTGTGTGTGTGTGTGTGTGTGTGTGTGTGTGTGTGTGTGTGTGTGTGTGTGTGTGTGTGTGTGTGTGTGTGTGTCGTCACCCTGCTTGCTGGTCCCAGTGCAGAAAGTGAAACATTGGATGGACTGTTAAGTGCAGGACAGGGAATCTCCCACTGTACACAGGCAGAAAGGAAAGAAATGCAGGGTGAGGGGCAGTAAGGTGGTAGACCAGGCTGCTATCTGATAAGAGTGAAGTACCGTATTTTTCGGACTATAAGGCGCACCTGAATATAAGCCGCAGCAGCTAAATTGAATGATGTGTACATATATAAGCCGCACTGGACTATAAGCCGCAGGTGTTTTAATGTTTAATTACCATATGTAAGGGTTCGTGCACAGAGGGGATTGTCGGGAAAGAGATGGCTGTTTGAGGAAGCTCCCATTTATTAACATTTCAACAAACAAGTTGCATATTTGCATAACGTATTCAAGTGTTACCATTTAGTGCAATAGTAGCTACAGAACATGTACTGTGCTGTGTAAACTGTACTGTATCACACAAACTTTTCAACTTTCAAACTTAAACGGTGCGCTCCCAGCGCACGTACCGGCAGTGATCTACAGCAGTGGTTTTCAACCAGTGGTACGGGGACAAACTGTCTCGCTCTCGTAATGTCTGTCTGTCTTGCTCTCGTTCTGTCTCTCGTACCACTCTCGGTTCCACTTTTACTTTTGCGCGCTACCTGTCTCACTCTTTTCCGGCCTCCAGCTTTTCCTGCTGGAGCCCGCCGCTTAAAGGTGGGGGGCGCGGACCGGCCATAGAGCCCATAGAGTTAAAGGTGGTGGACTGTAACCTCTAAAATCCATAGATTTAGGAGGTCCCCTAGTGGCCGTTAGCTGTAAAAATCCATAGATTAGCCGCACCTTTATATAAGCCGCAGCGTCGAAAAATGGGAAAAAAGGCGCGGCTTATAGTCCGAAAATTACGGTACACATTGCAAAACAATATCATAGATCAATTTATCGTTATAGCTAATCATATTATGTATGCATTCAAGAACGAAAATGGTCTTGCATTAATACCATTCAATTCTCATTGTAAGTCCATTTGGATAAATCTATGTAATGCAATGTCTCTTTTCATAAAATGTATTAAAAGCTACCTTTTATATCCACGTTTATCCCATCTGCCTTCTGCTGGTTTAGCCAACGTTGTCCGAGTCATCCACTTGCTCCTCCACAGCAGGTGCAAGCATCCGGTCGTATGAGAAAGCCAGCATAATCTGTACAGAAAAAATATATTTTATTAAAAATGTATTTAATTTAAAGCAAAAAAGACAAAAGGAAGAAAAAGGGAGAAAATGTACAGCAAGGACGCTCTGAGTGGCAAAGCAAGTGTTGGATTTCCTTCTTTCTTTCTTTTGGATCTCTCTCAGTAATAACATCCAATGAGAAATACAAATGTTATGGTTTCCTCAAAAAGGATTTCCTTATGCATCTGACAAAATACATTAGAATAAACATCAAAAAGCCTGAATCCTGAGCAAATAATTGATGTTGGCACAAAGCACTTTCTCCACTAAGTTGCAAAGTGAATCATGAAAATTGACTGATTGGGAGAACCCCAGAAACCCTGCTTCAGAGCCGTCAGACAACAAATAGTCTGTCCTTTACAATGAAAAATAATGAAAGACAGAAAAAATGAGGCTATCAAAGAAGCTTCCTGTTAAACCAAATGTAAAGTGAAAGTTAGATTCCTCTTATCCTCCTGGTTTAACAGTGCCTACACCAAGTTATTTTTCAAACAGGCTCATATTCAGGTTTTATTTTGTTCTTTCTTAAGGATAGTGGAACATTTTGTTGTTGGGCCGTGGTTCGCCCACACTTCTTAACAGGCATTACAAGCATTTTGTTCCTGAACAGAAGAGGAGCAGCTGGCTATAAGAGGTCAACTCACATCTCCTGTTCCTAACTGTAAAACATTTTCTCTGTTGTTTGTTTGTTTGTTTGTTTCTGATCTATTCTAATTGTATTCTCAATGCAAAAGACACCCTCTGCGCAATTATTTCCTTCAACAGAAATGAGACTCACATTTACACAAATCTTTTTAACCATTGCAATTGCTGTGGCTTATGCACATGAAGTATTAGTGAACTCCATTTGTAGTGACACTCACAGCTAAACGAGGCTCTCTGCTTCAAGCTGCAGGGTGAAAATACAGAGGCAAGCTTTGGGACAAACTCCCTTATCTCCGGCAGAAACAGGAAAATCCGTAATTTTCCGTTACAACGGTTGCAAATCAGTATTTCTTGGACAAAATTGTGTTAAAAAAATAACTGAAATAAAACTCTTAAAAAAAAAACATTTAATGGCGTTTCTTTTTTTGTAAACATCATTTTTTTTTATCTGATGTTTATAAGCTGCTTGGTTTTTGCAACAGTCCCTGTAAATATACAAAACTTTACAATCAAATGCACATGTTTACCAAGACACAGGTAGATGATCCTAAGTCATACAAATACGAGGCAACCATGAAGATGCTAATGTATGATGATATGAAATGTCTAGTTTACAAGTTAATGTTTGCACAGAACTGTTTGTAAACAGCATGACGGACACAAACAGCATTGTGTCGGTCAGGTAGTGCAGGTGGTTGAGTCAGGACCGATGCAGACACGCTGGTGAAGGGCTTGATAACCCACTCCCCCTCCCCACTTGTTGGACTGGAATGGAAAAACGTAATGTGGGGGACCCTCTGCGCGAACAGAGTGGTAGTGTGAAGGGGTAGGGTGTGGGGGTTGGCAGTAATTGGGCCTAAATCTCATCATTCTGAAGAACATCAATGCATTTTGGGAGAGGTCAAGCATGACCAGCAAGCTCATGCCCCATAATCAGACCTTCTTGCTAATGTAGTATGCATTCTGGCATTTCTTGTGTTTTAAAAGGTCCCATGTCATGCTTTTCCGCTTATTACCCGCCCCCTTGTGTGTTATATAGCTTTTTATGCATGTAAATGGTCTGCAGAGTCAAAAACCCTCAAAGTACACTCTGTAGCGAGTAAAACTCTAACGGAGCTTACACACGGCGGCGTGCGTTGAAGCTTCAACGCTTCTGCCAATTCACTTTGAATGGGGTGATGTCATGCTTCGCCGAACTGCATTGTGGGAGCAAAGTTTAGCTGGCCCAAAACGCCTCGTTGGAGATTTTTCTTTTTCCATTTGTTTCTTCCGGGAACCTCGTGACGTAACGAGTACCCCATGGACCAATTGGTCCAAATGGACCAATCCGCGGAGCCGTTACGTTACATCAGCGGCGCCGTTACGTTCAAATCTCGAAAAAACACACAGACTCACAGCCAGGCTGCGGGTGTGTGTGTGTGCTCGGGCTGGTTTCGGGCTGTGTCTCGCTGTCTCGCTCTCTCGCCGACCCGGAAACCACACTAGGCAGCCAGCTCACACTGTCCGCTCCTCGCAGCAGCGAGCCTCGCAACGTCCCGCCAACACGGCACCCAGACCCCACGCAGCATTCTCATCTGTTTGACATTACTGGTCTCATTTTCTGGTTGCTAACGCCATTGTAACACATAATCACTTATGTTCCGCTGTAACGGTGGTGGACTCATCAGAACAGAGTGGGCGAGCTGACCAATCAGAGGGGGGGGCAGGAGCTATACAGAGATGCTATATGAAAAACCAATGTGAGTTTGGAAAATTGCACAATGTAAATCTTTTCTAATATACCTTAACAATGGAATTATGATCAGTAGAAATGGCCATGACATGGGACCTTTCAAATCCACATACAATGCAGTTGGAGCACAACTAAACACCCCAACTCCCTTGCTGCCATAATGTCCATCCGACAACCACATACTACATCTTTGAGTTTCTTTTGACATACCGTAAGCAGTGCCAGCAGTCCCATCATCACCCCCATCATGATATACATGTTGTCTGTGAGGCCCCCAGCCCACAGAGGACCCAGGATGGTAGCTAGACCCCCCACTGAGCGGCGCACGCCCTGACTGAAACCTGCAATACAAGCGAGACACAGAGAATCAACCTTAGTCTATTGCATCGACCCACCAAACAATGAAAGGTGTAGAACGTCTTTTCCAATACGCAATGCTGCTTATGTTCCACTAGATGATGCAGTTTCTCACCTTGTGTTTTCTCAGAAGTGACTTTGGAAAAGAGGGAAACCTGAGCCACAGCTACAAATGGCAAACCCAAAACCTGCAGAAACACTCCAATGACGAATTCACTCAGCTGCCATGGGAAACCACCTTCAGAAAAAAGTGAAATAGAAAAAAAGAAAACACTGAGTGAATAGGCATCATGATGATTTAAAATGTTTGATTGTGTAATATAATTTAGATCTGTTGGATATGACTGAGTTTCCAATTGTGAGAATGTTTTGAATATAACAAATGATTCATATAAATATGTAAAATGTGTAAACCTTCTTTATTAAACAGGCCAGATCAGTAAAACATGGAGTATTAAACAAAATGTTGGTGGGGGATCAGGATTGTGTGGAAGCATCAGTTCTAGTTGACCTGTGTGTACAAAATGATGTAACAGTAAGCTGTTTTTCCAATGCATTCTGACCTAGTGGGTTTGCCAGGAAGATTAAGCACCAGACACCAGAGATGTTGCAGATCGTCAGTCCGATGGCAAGAATAACTCGCTCAGTAACACGCTGGCTCAGCCAGCGCACAAACAGGAAGCCAGCGATCACCTCCACCCCGCAGAGGCAGTACATCACGCTGTTCTCCAGCTCCCCGTAGCCAAAGTACTTCTGGGTCATCGGGGTCACCATGGTCTGAGAAATGTATTGAGAAGTTTGCACAGTGCATAAATCCCCATATAAAAAAGGTATTTTGCCCAGTTTTCTCTTGCCGAATAAAAATGTCTGCCAACTCCTGGCTTCACAGATACCCCACTAGTTAAGTGATCCTTACTGTAAGGAACATAAAGATAACTTTTTTGTTCAATCATTTAATATCTATGTGAGTGTTACAGTCTGTACATCTTTACTCTACCTCCAGTGCTGTCTGATTGAAGAGAGTGATGAACTGAGCAGCCAGCAGCACAACCACCTCTTCTCTCAGGAACTCTACAGAGAGGGAGAAAGACATTACATTTAGAGAATGTGTCTTCCAGCTTTTTAAGAACCCCTGAGAGAAAGACACACTGTCAGTCACCCACCTCGAGATATGCTAGAGGTCTTAGAGGGGCTGGAAGACTCATGGGTCTCTGGTGGCTCTGGAGAGAGAGGTGGAGAGATGTGATTCCGCGTAGCATTTGAGGTAGCAGAAGGGTCTGACATGGCTGTGTTGGACGCCACCACTGAGCCGTAGGACCCCCCTATCTCCTGGGACCCCATTAGCGGCTTTTCCTCATCATTGTCCTCTTCCACAAGCCCTTGCTCGTCCTCCTCGTCCTTGCTCTGGCCTCTTAATCTGTCTTTGGCCTTCTCTTTCTCCAGATGAGGTAGGTCCCAGTACATGAAGATCACCGCCAGTTGAATGAGAGTCCACAGCAGACACATGAACAGCTGCAGAAGGTGGAAGAAGAGCATTACAACTTCTCTTTGAGGGGGTTTTTTTAAAAAAAAAGTGCAAAGTTATAGCTTATTGTGGACCCTTACCCCTGGCGCGGTATATTTATTGACAACAAAAGGACCCAGTTGGAAATCACACAACCTCAGGAAGATGTTAAATGCTGGACCTGTCAAACACAAGGTTAAACATGCATCCTGTCAGAATCGGATATCAGAAACAGGTTTATTGCCAAGTAGGTTTAGACATACAAGGAATTTGCCTTGGTGTACACACCCAAACATTAGAAAAACATGAGTCTTCACTGATTTTCAGGTCTAGGGACCCTTTATAAGGAGCAGGGATCACCGGCCTACTTCAATATTTGTACCACATTAAACTCTTCTATGACTGGCGGCCTATAGTGCCATTTATAAACATGCTTTTTTATGTTGCATACATTCTTAAGCCAATAAAATAATACTGCACTGTTACTGGTAAAATGAATATGCCACCAGAAAGCAGTGGAGCACTGACCAATCAGAAGGCCAGCTTGTCGACATGCCATGACTGCAGCAAAAGCAGTGGCGCGGTCCTCGGGGGCGGTGCTTCTGGTCAGTAAGCCAAAGATAGCTGAGCCAGTACCTGTTCCGATACCTGAGGAAAATACATCAGTTACGGGTGATTTTCAACAAATTGAGGTTAAACCTGGAGCTCTGGACATATATTGTTGCATCACCTCTTATTATCTTCAAAAAACTACAATAATATTACCATTGTTTATATATATCACCCTCTAAATCCCATTTAAATAAACTAATATTTTTAAGCTTTGGGATATTTTTAGATGGTCAACCACACGATATTACCGATAATCATTTTCAGGTTAAACACGTGTCACATTTAAAAGATAATGAACAGTCTCTGTTAAAAAAAACTAAATGATGATGCATCATAGTATGTACAGGATCAAATGTATACCTTTACATAATGTACCTTTTCAGCTACTCTGGTTTGACAAGTCTATTCTACTAGCTTGACACCTGGAATGGATAATAAGTCACAGTGTCTTTGAGCAGACTCACCTGCCACCAGTCTGCTTGACAGTAAGAGCCACTTGGAATATCCCATAAAGTACATAAAATTACCTGGAGAGCAGAAAAGAGGAGTGAAATGAAGTGAGACATATACTTTACACTAATACCACAAAACTAATAGTGAATGAAGTTTGGTGTTTCAAGGTAGAAGTGGTGGGAATACAATCAAATAAGTGGACTCACCAATCATCTCAAAAACATTGGCAAACAAGATGATCTTCTTAGTGGTCCGTGTTTTGTCGGACCAGTAGCCAAACAGCGGTCCTGTGAGGAGGCCGGTCAAGCTGAATGCTGACAGCGCCAAACCCAGAAAGTAAGGTGCTGCTTCTAAAGTCTGCAAGTACCTCCATATCGTGGGCAGTATTACAGCTGGGGAGACAGAAGGAACACTTTTCATCTAATATACACTTTCTTTTGAAGTTACAGTGTTTGATTAAAAAAACTAAATGTAAAAGTTAACGCATGGAAAGTGAACATTGTTTTCCAGTTCTTTTGAACTTAAACTACCTAACTCAGTGTTGCTGAGTCATAATTAGGTATATGAGGATTTAAATGAGTACACTGTAGCTCTGTTGGGATGCATTAATGAGGCATCTTAACAATGTTTATTGCAAACCTGTGACTTCCATGAGCCCTATGGAGATATTTATCAGAGGAGTTGGAGAGGTGAACTTTAAATCTTTTTCATATCAGTGATAGTAATGCCAAGAGAGCAAGCAGTGGTAACAATTTCTCCCTGTCAATACCTCAAACATAATCATTAATCATCTAGACAGAGAATAGTGTTTACCAAATACAGTCACAATTTCATTCTTAGGTCAGAAGACACATGGTAGAGTGTGCTTTCTGGAAAAACCAGAGGAAATTATTGCTTAAATTGACTTGGCATCTGTGACCATGCAAAAGTGATAAAACTAATTGAGCCTTGCTTTTTGACACAGCTTTGAAAACATCAGTAAGTGACTATGACAACAACGACAACAACAAATCCACTGCATTGTAAAATAACAGTCATATACTCAATAATATCTTTCTGAATCTTATCAAGAGAGCTGTGCTTTAATTCCTTGGAACGTTTTTAAAGGGTGTGGTTGAATTTGCTGTTATTTTGTATGCATCATGTAAATGTCCTTGTAAGGTGGCCTCTGTGCCAACCTCACCCATATTTGAGTAAAATATGGACTGGTTGATTCAGGTGGTTGAACAGATATCACTGTTATTCATCATTACATTTTTGAATTAATTAATACGTTTCTAAGTAACAAAGCCAGTGAGGTGACAGCTGTAAGACATATGACAAAGGTAAATGTAATCAAATTACCAAACAATGAAATTGTTAAATAAGTAACTGATACACTACAGTCCTTTGTATTACTCCTGACTACTCAAAACCTTGCCTAAGTATCCTTTCCCTGATCAAATCACATAATGGTTGAGTCAAAATACCTCATCAATAGGAGAAATACACACACTCAACACGCCAAACCAATAAGTTCCAGTACACCATGTAACATGTTCCACCAAAACACATAGTAAACATGAATAGTAGCCTCTTATTCAATCATTAGGTGATTATGGGAACACTACAAAGTGATTGTACAGTACTGTAATATTTTAGTGTCCCATTTCCCCATTCAATTCAATGGTCAATGTCAGTGTTGCAAAAGAAACAATAACAACACAAAACAGATCTTACCATATTCCACACCGCTAAGTAGAAATATGAGCCCAATGGTGAAGAATGTCAGCTTCTTTTTCCGTCGATAATCCATCGTGTTTGGCAGCTATAATATTATTGTTATGCTTGAAGATACATGTCTATTCTAATCTGTCTACAAAACACCAAAACGGACATAATCCCGAGTGCAGTGCTTCCAATTAGAGCCGACTGAGGGCACATTTCTCTGTGCCTTTCTCCGGACAGTTTGAAAAAAACTTTTCAGATTGCGTGTTGTTCTACATAATTCTGAAGTGAGTGTGCAACGAGCCTGTTCCCTGAGCAGGTAATGCTTGAAGCGCCAGTTCAAACATTACACAGGGATTTGCAAACGAGCAGCAAACATCCGCGCAATGCTCCTGCGCAGTTTAGCCCAAACTACATCACTTCCGGTGGTTTCACAGGTACACTTTGGAACAGTCCCAAGCAGGGAAGCCCCACTCTGCTTCGGTTTAATTCGCACACAGATTCATTGGTGCTTTTAGATGGATTAGCATTTGTTATTATAATACAATTTCGACACTGTGGTTTTTACCACGTTTTTATGTTAGATATTGATGCTATAGGCACCTGATCCTGTTGGTAAAATGCGACTATATTTAAGCCATTGTGTTTGTAGGCTATATGGAAAGAAAACCTATTAAAAACAAATCTTCACTGTACAAATACATCTAAATCATTAACTGCTATAAGGCACATTCTAAAAGGAAAAAAAGAAAACTGGGATAAGCCTGGGTAAAATGTGTTGTGTTCTTTCTTTTAATTTGTTTGTAAATCAAAAACAGACCAACTACAGTCCTAATTAATATTAGACACACAAGATGTCATAATGAAATCGTTTTTAAAAATAGTAAATACAATCTGTGGTAGCATAGCATGGGAGTACAGCCTGCTCCAGTATAGCTTAATGTGCAATCATATGTTATCTCCCTTTTTACAATGTAATGCAGATTACAGTTGCAGTTACTATACCACGATTGTCACAATCTGAACATGATATTAATTTAGGGTTTTATCAAACCTGCTGACACCGGTGGAAAGATAATGTTGTTTGATGACTTACTCTGACCATTCCCCATGGTGGGCAAATAACCAACAGCAGGCCACTTAAAATGCATCATGTCAGAGGCACATACTTTAATAAATCTGGGACAGATTATAGTAAAAAATAATGTTTCAGACACTTTTACACCCTGACAAGAGAATTCTGAGGAAAAACCCTGAATTATTTTAAGTATTTGGGCAGCTGTGGTATTAAAGTACTGGTGCTGGCTTTCAGAAACATATATTTTACAATTCAAATCGAATATGTCTAACCGGATTGTCCCTATAAAACTTTGTGGTACTTACACAATGTTTTACTTTAATATTGTACATCATTGCTGTACTTTTGTAAGGCTACAAGTATATACGACAGTACTAAGTCTGCCTTCCATGCATACATTAAGAATATATGAATCACTGGCAGTGTTCCCTCCTGTCCTGTGACACCCATTACCACTGTCATTGGGAAGCTTGTGTCACACACAAAGCTTCTTCTTCAGCCTTAATTCAATCTTCTTTCTCCTGAGCATGCACATTTTTGCTTGCTGCCATGTAAGCAACTATAGAACCATTGCGTAAGACATGCTGGCAGCTGGCAAAACTATTATTTAATTTTCTAAATACTTACCTAAGGATTTATTCAATATCTGAACTTCAAATGTTCTACTTATGTTGCAGACTGCTCTGTTGTTTTAAAGGTCACTCCTCGAATTTGTGTGTAGTCAATCTAAGCTATTCCATATGACATGAACAGACATGTCAGTACTTGATTTACTGGACTTTTTGAAACCATGCATTCATTTATGCTCACCTTTAATGTTATTTGAAAATGTACAGTTGTAAAAATGTTTCCAAAGCCGTGTGAAATAATCATTAAACCAAATAAACATTTATAAGATCAACTTAACAGCTGCAAGGGTATTTTCTGGTTGGAAGAAAACAAGAATAAACTCACTCACAGATTTTTTTTGAAAATAGTCATTTTAAAAAAGGTGACAGACCATGTAAGAATCAATTAGTATAAAAGAAATCTTTATTTACAGTTTACCAACAGATGGAGGTTGCAGCAGTTTGTATGTGTCACAGTGTATAATCTGTAGTCCATCTCCTTGGAGATCTGTAACTACAAGAGTAAAAAAACGAAATATGTTGCCTCCATGTGTGTCTGTGAGCTGCTCTTGGATGATATTTGCATACTCCAGGGTTGAGAATATGAATGTTTTCAGTATGCAGTTCCTTATAAAGTTGCCTGTGGCATTGGGAACAACTGAGTGAGCAGAGCTGGGGTTTAGAAGGCAAGTTTCTTCATGAGGAGGTAGACCCGGGAGTCCACCTCGAAGCCGTGAAGGTTGTTGGCGTCTCCCTGCAGCCTCATGAGGAGGCCGCCGTACGACACATAGGCAGATCTGAGAGAAGGAGCACATGGAACTTGATTAAAGACAACCAGTGAGATTTGAAGTTTGCATAAAATGATAAGAAAATATTACCATCTCATTATCTCTCTATCACACACAGACTTCTGTTGGGCAAGCTAAATCATCTTGATCAATGCAATACACAGCTGGGTGATCATTTGCAAAAGAATAGTGTAGTTATAATAATACACTTAAAATCCAACTTAAGTATATTCTTCTTATAATCAGTGACATATAATACAAATATATTTTCACAACTAAATAATATTTCTAAGCTGAAAAATGTAGAATTCTTGAAAAAAAGAGTTTCTGTGGTCATTTATATATGAGAAATTGCTGCACTAATGATTTACCAATAACAATAGCAAAGCTACTTGTTAGTATGCTAACAGTTTATTTAAAAGGTAAACATATTAACATTTATATTTATAAGTTATAAGCTTAACTTAAAAAAAGCATGTAATATTACTCACAGGCGTGTGGCTGCTTCTGTTGAAGTCTCATCACCCTCAATCTTGTAAACCTTCCCATACATCACATAATCAAACTGGTCCGCCCTGGAAATGTAAACAAAGTCAAATAAGAGCATCTATCAAAACATGCTGTACATCACAGGGAACAGGCACACTAAACATGTACACAGCAATGGTGTTAGATCCTTAAAAACATGAAAGAATCAAGGAAGTTGGTTAAGTTATACCGCTATAAGAACTCATTCCTACCTATGTCGATTAAGCTTCTTAACATTCACATGAAATGAAATAAAGTCAAATGTAATGAAATGTACTTTTTAAATGTTGGCCATGAGGGTTGTGCAATAGGTCGCCATTGTCAGTATGTGACAATGTGTATTGTGTTTGTTCAAACAGTGTATGACTGATGATATGTGTATGTCTCTTAATGTCCACTATGTTTGTACATGTATGCGGAACTGCAAGACGGAGTCCAGAACAAAATGTCCTTACGGGGACAATAAAGTATATCGTATCGTATTACAGTCATCAATGTTTGAAGAGAAAGCGCCTTACCTAGAAGGCCGGTCATCCTGAGGATTGTACTCTCCGTCGTCTGGCGTTCCATCTTCATATAACGTGCTGGCAATGACCAGTCGGAACTTGTCACCTTAAAGAAATAAACACATGCAAACAAAGAGGTTTTATATATTGGAAACTTGGGACACCCTGGATTATGATTCATGGTGCTTTACGCCTTAATCTTATGCCCCTTTCACACCAACGCGTTTTCAGCTCCGGCTCGGAGCTGGAGCCTGAAAAGTACCGGTTGTTCCTGTTCACACCGCAGCGGCGCCGCCTCTTAGCTCCGGGATCCGGTTCACTTCCAGCTCCAAAAAATTGTCGGCTTAGAGGCAAGAGCTTCGGAGCTAAGAGGCGGCGTCGCTTACGTCTCTCTTACGTCGAGGCGTGCAGGAAACTAAACCCACCTCCCCTGAACATGGGTCGACTGAAGAGTCTCGTCATGCCTGCCTACAAGCAATAGTGCTTATAAATACACTTTATAAAGTCAGGCAACACTAACCAGGCTTTGTGTGATTCTGTTTATTTGCACCTTACTTTGACCGTCGTTCACTGTTATTGATCATTGTGGAGAGCAGGCAGACGTTTTGTTTTGTATTATAGCAGCTATCGGATGGAATCAATACATGGGCTGCACAGGTTGTCGTGTCCGACTATCACAAGTAGAATCACAATGAAAATATACCGGTAAAATGTGCCTGTAGAAAACGGTTTATGCCACAATAGGATAGCAATAGCAAGTAGTCAGTTTAGCTTCGGTTGCTATGCTAACATCACCCATTTTATACCAGAGAAACTTTCATAACAGCGTTGTGATGCCAAACAGCGTCAATTCAGACTGACACACATTAACTTAAGGGGAACTGGGGATATGTATCAGCTGCTTGTGTGACAGTCAGACAGTGAATACTTTAGAGCGGCCGCTGCAGTGTGAGCTAGCCGGGAGCTAACGGGAGAATAAACTCCCGTGGAAGAGCAGCATGCAGCACTGCAGCGGTCGGTAAATGCCGCTGAAACACATTAATAAACAATGAACCACGGCACTCTGGAGAAAAGTATAAGGTTGGAGAAGTCGTTATTTAATTCAATCTGGCTTCGTGTGATTAAAAGAAACACGATCATCGACCCGACGCAGTCCCCCGTTGTTGTTGTTGTTGTTGTTGTTGTGAGCGCCGTAACGCCGTTGGGGAGCAAATCAGCGATGTAAACGGTGACGTCATGACGCAGCAGCGGCAGCACCAGTCGGGCTCTGGGCGGTGTGAACAAAGCGGGAGCAGAAAAGGGAAACCGGAGCTGAACCAGAAAAGCTCTAGCTCGGAGCTAGAAAGGGAAAAGCGCTGTTGTGAAAGCCGCATCAGTGTCCCCTCACACACTGACAAAAGAGGAATATATAGCGGTTTGGCATAGCGCTACTTACTCACACGTACATCAGAGTATATAAGGAAAAAACTCAAAGTAAAAGGTGCAAGTGAAGATAACCAGACAATTATGTGACCACCTTGTCTAAAACTAAAAAGATTTCTATATATATTTAGGAGGTAAAAATGTTGGGGGAAATAAGTGATTGTTCTGAGAAAACTGTATACAAGATATGTTTAGAATGTGATTGTGTGAGACAACATCAACAATCAAAAGACTCCTTATCTTTACCTTAGAATTAATATATACAAGAACAAAGAGGTTGCTTCTTACCAAGATCCACAGGATAGATTTGAATGTTCACATCCAAGATGAGGTCCATCTTGAAAGATTCACTCTCACAATGTAGACGAGATACTGTAGAACAAAACAGGTAGAAGTAGACATTGGATGAGTTCATTTTGTACTTTAAAAGTGAAATATACTAATTGAAAATAAATAATAGTAAGACAAATGTTATATAGTTAAATGCTTTTAGAAGGTTACATTATTAAAGCTAGACAACTAAAAGCAAAGGAGAGAGGTAAAACAACAACAAACTCAAATGTAAATAATTTCCACAAAAAAATATCTGGGTCTTTACCTTAAAAATATGCCAGACTTCATTTAATACTTAAGATCATTCAATATTTTACAGATAGAAGAATAAGGTGTACAAGTACAGTAGTAGTGACCATTACATTATGGTAGTGTATAGTGTGATTCCCTCTACCCTTTTTAACTTCTAAATCATAATGAGATGTCACACACCTCTGTCAAACTTCATGCCATCTGGATCAATGTCCTTTACATCGAAGATATCCTCAAACAGAATTCCAGCCATCTTTACCCTTGTCTACCAACCTGGAAAGGAAAAAGACAAGTACCATTAGTCCAGTTTTCGTTGGAGGAAGAAAATATTTAATGAAAAATAACTGATCGCTTTGGTCTGCGTTGATAGAGCCCATGTTTTAGGTAGTAATGGGGGAAATCTGATTATACTATAACAAACTGCTCGTTATGATTCTGCGATCATTTATGTCACAATGAAGATGCTGAAATTGTAAACATATTGAAAGTGATTGAGAATGTTGAGTGTTTCCAGTTGCCTTCTTGACATTAGACATATTGTTTACGAGCTTTAGTCTTAATCTAATCAAATATGCCCAGACGTAGTTTAAAACAAACTAGATAACGCTCCTTGAGAAACATGAATATTAACTGTAGCTTGACATGTAAAGTTCAATTATTTGTTGGTTACTTACAAACTCTCACTCGATAATAATTCAACAACGTTGGTGCCTGAGTTAGCCGAGTTAGCGTTATTTAAAGTATTGCTATAACGTTAGCTGACTACTACTTTATAAGTGTCTCCTTTTCACGGCAGGCTAGCTGTTAGCTTTAGCATGTAGAACACCCACTTCCCCAAGCTTACCTCAAATACGTTCTTGAACAATTTTTCTCACAGAAAAGTCTCACTCGCTATTGTTCTGCAGTGATGTCTGTTTAAACTGTGCCCTATATATATTATAGCAGTAAAACGTAATTAATTTACGCTTCAGTGTGAGACAGATTGTATCGCCATGGGAGAAACAATGTGCTCAACCTCTCTGACACGCAAACTGCTTCCGGTTGAAAATGCAAACCTGATCTTTTTTTTTTTTACTGTCAATACTAAATAAACTTGAGTACATTATTTAAAAACTCAATGTCGTACCTATCTGTGTGTAGTTGCTTTAATGTTTAAAACACATTGTGCTTTACACGTTGTTTTGCTAAATAAAGCACGATTCACGACATATGCCTCTACTTTCCAGCTTGCATTTCCTAAGTGCTTGGTTGCTAGGTGTATTAGCGTCCTATCTGTGTACGGTTGCTAGCTAATGGCTAGCTGGCTAAAAGCAGCGTAAACACACATGCCGTATCGAAAATGGATCATATAAGTTCCAGTTCCGGATGAGCACGCTGAAACGATATAAACCTATATTTACCAAAGCATATGTGAAAGGGTGAGAACGACGCCTTATCTTTTACCGTCAGATGACGTTAGCTTGTCAGCTAGTAACGTTACTAACGTTAGCTTGCCACACGTTTGCTTAAAATGGCAGAACAAATAGGATGTTCTGTTAACGGTGTTGTTTTAAAAGCTGTATGCATCCAGTCAAAAATGGATGTCCATTTTATTTGTGTCTAAGAATAGTAGGCCTACTATAACAAAAAAGCATTTATATCGCTTTAGCTGAATTCTCTAAAAACAATAATACTCTGAAACAAAAAATGCAATATAGTTATTTGACAGCCCTTTGCTGCTGCCTCTTTGTTATTTTGGTGCTACACACATTTGCCTAATTATAATGTCCTTTACTGTGCTTTTGGATCTGCAGATTTGGTACAAATGTTGTTTATTGAAAACAGACTTATTTTCTCACAGTAGGTGTTTTGAAGTTTTGGGGCACTCACATGAGTTCCAGGGAGGCAGCCAAGATGGGGGACATCTTGGCAACTGAAGCCGATCTTCTTGGGATGATCAAAGAGGTAACACACTTACATTTTTGTGAATGCACACCGAGCAATACGCCAAACAGCATGAGCATCACTACAAGAGTTTTTAAGTTTGTGTAATTTGGATTATGTCAAACTAAACTCCATTGTGTTCTGGTTAAGGTAGATTTGAAACCACTATGCTTGTTTTTTTGTCTTTTGTAGTACCTTAAGTTTGAGGAATTTGAAGAGACTGTTCACAGTTTGGAAAAGGACTGCAAAAGCAAAGGCAAGCTCGTCTCAAAGCCTCAAGGAAGTACTCTCAGAGACTCAAAGACTCGTGTTATCCAGGTAAATCATACAAGTATTATGACCTATTCCTGCAGGTTTGCTAATCATTTGTGATAGTGGCAACAAGGGATGTGCTGCGATTTACCCCTAGCATTAAGCTTTTTTGTATTGATTTTATCTCTAAATATTGTTGGGTTTTCCAAAATTCTTGATCATATTATCATATATATATTATCATTATAACATTTCAGAAAAAATTGTAGATTACATCCTTCCAGAGTTATTACTATTTCTCCAACCAACTTCTCTTTAACTTTGACTTTTCTAGAAAGACCTCCTTGGCTGTTTTGACGACGGAGACCACAAAGTGTTCTTTGAACTGTGGACTGAGAATATTCCCTCTGAGGTTAAAGACACGGACGCTGAGGCCCAGAGCCTGGAGTTCTACCTCTACATCCACTTCACCATCTTCCCACTGAGGAGGCACCCTGGTAGACATGTATGTTGTTTTTAATTGTTAAATACATTTCATTTAAACAAGAGCATTACTTTTCTTAAGATTATCTGCAAGCAAAACACAACTATCATTGAATATCATGATATGCAATTTTTCGAAATGTCCACTAAGCTGTGCTACAGTCTTGTTCTCAGCAGGGAAAGAAACAGAATGATCTAATTGGAAGAATATTGTGTATATTACAAATGGGAAAGAAACAGAATGATCTAATTGGAAAAATATTATGTATATTACAGATGTTTTAAATTATGTTGTAAACTAAACAGACATTTTGAAATAAATCTACTCCTTTGAAAACCTTACTCATTCTTCAGGACCGGGCTGATTTTGACGAGAGGATTTCCCACTTCAAGCAGTACCTGGAGACTCGCGGAGCGTCATTGAGCCAGACCGCAGAGTTCCTGCCTTACTATGCTTTGCCTTTTGTTCCAAACCCCGCTGTCCATCCTTCCTTCAAAAATCTGTTCCAGGTGATCAGCTAAAACTATCTTTTTGGTTATTGTCAACAACATATTATATATTTTGCAACATTACTACCTGGTGCTACTTTCAGAATGAGCATAACCATATTTTCTTCCATTCTACATTCTGTTTATTTAGGATTCCTGGATACCACAGTTGAAACATAAGCTGGAGCGGTTTCTGTCGGTGACACTGAAGTCATCCAACACCCCACGGCTGCTGAATTTATATGTATCCTTTATTGAGACTCGCTCACATGCCACATGTACTGCACAGAAGGGTGACATATTGTATATTTATGAACAATAGATGATATTATATTTTAATTTAAATGTGTGTGCTGTGCCTTTCATTTCACCACAGCTAAATAGTTGTTTATAAAACACGTTTTTATGTTTGTGCTCAACTTGTTACTTGGCCATTACATTTGATATATACCAGTGTTATCCTACTGAATGGCCAGTGGTTCCTCTTCTGGGTGAGCTGCACATTTAAATCTCAGCAAAAAGCCTTTCTGTTGGTGACTTGAGAATTCATTAACAGTCATAGCCCAGACTTGGACGTTTCCTATCATGTAGGCAAATCCTGTCTGATTTACATTTATTTATGGCCGTGTTTCAGTCTGGAAGAACCTAATCCAACACTAACTCATCCAAAGTCATTCAGGGTAGAAGGGCCAGTGAAGGATAACACGAGTTGTTGCTTGAACTGGAAACCCAGTGGCTCGACTTTCCTCCCTCAACATGAAACTAAACCCTATCCCTACTGGCTGACTATCAAAGTACACAGATTAACATAGTGAGCATCCTCTTAAGGGCTGACCAAAGAAATACTGTCTATTTGTACATAAATGAAGCGAAAAGGAGTAGGGTTACATAAGCTAATATTTCAATATGCAAACACAGCAGCTGTCACAGCACACTCACAAATGAAAAGGTTCTGTTAGTGGAGTTCCAACCATTCCAGGACACGTTCAAATCCTTACGTGCTTCTGAATGCTCTGAATTATAGGTATTAATCTTACATAGACATAATTATCTTCCAGTCCTGTGTAAATGTTTGTTTTCATAAAAATGTGTGCTTCAAACAGGATGTAAAACAGACTGTTGGTGTTATGTGTCAAGTCAAATTGAAGCTCCAAAGTGCAACTTACACAATTCCTTGTCTGTATTTATCATTGGATGACGAAACAAATACATAGAATTGTTTGACTTGTTCCATTGAATGCTAGTGTGTATTCTTTAACAAGCGTCATGCAGAAGGAGGGAGGAAGGAGCACTAAAGGTAAATATCCCTCTCTAGCTACTTTTGCAATGTGATAACACAAATACTAACTGCAGACTGCCTAAGCAACAACTTGTTTTGTCAACGCCAGTAACTCAATGATTTAATTAACAAGAAAAAGCTTCCCATACCTTGAAATCTTTAGACCGCAACAGCCTATTACTTAACAGTGGCGGTCAAATATTCAAGATAAGGATTTCCAAACTCTTTCCCTGGCCCAAACATCATAATATTTGAATTTTCTGTCGTAAAACTCATCATTACTTGTGCGTAATTGACAGTCCACAGCAATTCAAAGTGCCATAAGAGATGGGAGGCTTTGCCAAAGATTCACAAAAAAACAACAACATGTTAACCATCATTTACACAAAGAAGGTCGCGTGGGATATGAATGCTGTTAATTATTATTTGTTTCTATATGGCAACCTTTCTCTGTGTGTTTGTGTGAATGCACAGAGGCCACACAGCAGTTACAGCTCCAGCTGGTGGAATCAGACAGACGCATAAATAGCTACGTACGGAAGTTCAACAAGATGCAGGCCGACTACCACAACCTGATTGGAATCACGGCTGAGCTGGTCGACTCGTTGGAGGCCACTGTCAGCGGAAAAATGGTAGGTCTGCTTGACTGTGGAGCACACAGACACACACACACATTCTAACACACAGGCTACAGGCACTAACTACATAGACTGGCACACACACTGACACAAATGAGCCAATTAGTGGTGTGCACACACGAATACTGGACACCAGAAGGTTGTTTGATGTGATATATAACACTTGAATATGAAAAAACATATTTGTACGAAACATTTTTACAAATTGAATATGCATATTAATGAATACACACATACACCTCACTATTAGACAAGGCTATTAAACAGGGACACCAAAATGGCATCCCTGCCCTCCCTCCACCCACATACAGCATCTTAAAGCTCAAGGGGCCTGCTGTGTTTTTACAGATCTCCCCTGAGTACCTGCAGAGTGTGTGTGTCCGCCTGTTCAGCAGCCAGATGAGGCAGAGCGTGGTGCAGAGCACTGACTTCACCAGACCTGGCACTGTGAGTGAGAGCACACACAAACACACCTCTCTTCACCCTCATTCTCCTTCACAGCAGAATAACAAAAGGCAATACTTCAGGGCAAGATGATTTTAGTACAAGCATGGAAAATGTCAAGCGTCTCAAACCTTTAAACAAGCGTAGGAAAGTGCTCTCGGGGCCCGTACGTCACACAGGTAGTGGTAACGATGACGTTGTGTTTGAAAAGGATAGGAGGGTTAATCTGCATTAACTTGACCACACATCCTCTACATCCTGTACATTGTGTAGCCTGGTTAAAGCCATCTAGTAATCCTGTAGTTAGTATCCTGGAAATAGGTGCCTGGACCCTGCTGTTGCTTTAACACACACAGGCTTGGAAGGCTTGTAGAAAAGCTCACTAAGTCCAAAGATTATTAACCAATTTAAACATTACTTTGATTATAATGGTTAAAATGATGGTTAGTTGCATGAAGCAGTTTGAACAAAATACAAAATATTTATATTAAACATCAAATAGCTATGTCTTGGCTTTGTCTATGGCTTTGTCGCCATAGTTTTGTATCTGTTAAAGTGTGAGTCAAGGACACAGCTGATCATAAAACCTCAACAATCACGCTTGCTGTCAGTGGCCTTCATTGTGGTGTTAGACTGTAGTTTGTGAAATCTTGTTTCTTTCTGTTTTAAACTGAACCACTTCTTTCTGTGTGTTTGTGTGTGTGTGATACTTTTGTCCTCAAAGGGATATTACTCTATGAGTCCCTATGATGACGGATATGTAAGTTTCATATGTTTTCATCTTTACCCCCTCCATCTTTCAGGTCCCTACCTATCATCCTGCTTGTGCCTCGCCTTGTCTCCTTTCCTCCTTCCCTCCTTCTCCTTGTGTCTGCCTCCTCTTCCCTCACTATAGATATACTACATTTCATCCGTCTATATGCAGGGCCATTTCCCTCTTAATTCCTATTAGATTGTCCCCAGTTTAAAGGGATATTCAGCCTGTTTTCTGTAAGAATGGCCTCTTTTGTCAGAGCCCTTGTTAAGCCAAACAAGAGCGTCTCTCTCAGGGCGGACCCTCATCATTAAATGAATTTGTTCTCATAGGCCGCAGTCATTGTTCCTCCTCTAAACTCTCTCTCAAAAGTAAATGCTGTCAGTTTCAGTCTACTCCCCTTACCATTTGGTACAATGGTACAGGTTTTAAGATCATTTAGTTGTAAAAAAACACTTCTCTAATGTTAAGTTTGTCAAAAAGGGTGGGTTAACTACAGCTCTTTAGAAAAGAGACACAAAAGAGCCTTTAATATAATGTTGATGGTTCACATTAAATAGCAAACAATCATGATGGAACCAATTAAATAATAATACTTATTTAATTAATGTCCAGGGAGTGTCAGGTCGAGCTTTTAAAGGTGGGGTAGGTAAGTTTGAGAAACCGGCTCGAGATACACTTTTTGTTATATTCCATGGAATGTTCTTAACATCCCGATAGCAATGAATATCTGAAGTGCTTTGACAACAAATCCATACAAAAAGGTCATCTGTGGAAGCCGTAGTACTGTAAAAAGCACGACCAATAATTTTAGCAGGCCCGGCTAAAGTAACTGGATGGCCTACCTGCCTGTCAGCCTTCCATCTGTGCACAAATTTATCTCGTGCCCTCATTGGTCATGTGCGCGTTCGTGTGTGTTGGAGGAGGCGCTCTGTAAGGAAGTGGCAGATTTTTTCCGGCTTTACGTATTTTCAAATTCGAGCGCACTCTAACTGGTTTCTCCAAAATAACCTACCCCACCTTTAACTGTTGAAGGACAAAATAATGGAAATGAGAATAAAATAAATAAAACCGCCACAGCCGAAATATAACGGAATAAACGGATGCTTAATTTACATTTTCTGGATGAACTATTCCGTTAACTTTTCTTCTCCGCCATGTCAGTGACAAATCCTGAATTAGATCAGGGAGCAGCGCCATCTACTCTGACAATAACTTCAACAATAGATAGAAACGCTATCTCTTATTTAAACTCAGCTTCGAAAGAGAATGCAGGTCAAGTCTTTGCTCTGGGTAGATGATTGGCTGAAATGTGTCAATACACGTGGCCTTTAAGTTTTATAAGGAACATTTGGAAATGCCTTGTTGTAGTTTTCCTTCTGCCTCTAATAATGTAGTTTGACCCCACTATGTGTATGTTCATTATAGGTGTATGGCTTTCCTGTTAGAAAGAAATGAATAGAACTGGTTCAAAATGTTTTGTATATACATCTCTTTATCAGGCCACCTTGGGTCAAGGCAAGGGGAAGGGGCAAATGTCTCAGGGAAACCTTTCCCCTTGCCCCTCAGCATTTTTCAGGGCAACTGAAGTGTTTTGTATTGGTGCTTTCCCCCACTTCCGTATTACCTGCTGCACACCAAAGCAAAAATGTGGGCAGCCCACCCGATACTACAAACCACACGGATCACTCCCCTCACCTTACACTGCTCTGCTGTAGGCTTAACCGCCCGGGCTTCAGATTGGATTTCAGGGCTCAGAATTCCCTTTCAATAGTAAAAACCCCCACTAATCTCTCACCCTTCCTCTACACACATTCACCAACACCCAATGGACATATCAGTCTTTAGTTCAGTTGTGTCCATTTTCTTTTCTCTAAAAACAACAACACACAGGGCCACAGTTCAGGTACACTGGGGTGTAACACATGAAGGTCTGGCTGTTTCACATTAAGCTGCCCTCTGTGGAACTTAACAATTACTGACTTATGTTATCCTACTTGTTACTGACTGCATGGGCAATGTTGCCAAACGGTACTGTTCTTGTATAGTTGCGGATTCAGCATGTACCTCGAGCATGATGTACGCATGTCCCAAAAAAAAATACTCATTACCTTTTTAGACAGTAACTAACTTTTTCTCATCGTTTTGGATGGATAACACTGAGTTGGGGGACCATTTAATCCAAATTATGAAACAGATGAGCAGTCGCATGGGTTATGCATTCCACACTTAAATAAATAACGATGTGGTAAAATTCTAACATACTCTTCCCCTCCGACATCTTTCTTAATCTTCCTCTCTTTTATAGGCCTCCTCGTTGCTTCGAGCTTCCATTGCACCACAGTAAGTCTTGAATATGAATGTTGTTTATGTTATAAGTTTATAAGTTCCATAATAAACTTGCTGACTTTGGTGTTTTTTTTTTTAAAGGAGACCCAAAGAGGTACCAATGCTGCCCTCACTGGACTATGAAAAGTTAAAGAAAGACCTGGTTGAAGGCTCCGACAGACTCAGGGCTCTGCTGCTTCAGGCGCTGCGCTGGGTGAGTAATAATCATCTACCCCGCATCATAATCACACTTTCCAGAAAGGCTAGTGTTCGGTACTTAAAAGTGTATAGTATGGAGATTTTAATAAAAGGTTTTTAAGTCTTAACTTTTACCGTTCACACTAAGATTTGACTTTGACGCAGCTCATTAGTATAGCAGTTTGTGAGCATCACTCATATTCACTCACTCCTTTGAGACTTCATTGCTGGGTCTGTGTCTCACGTCTCTTCTCAGAGACTGACTCGCTCTCTGCCTGGTGAGCAAAGAGACACCGTGCTTCAGGCCTTCATCAGCAACGATCTGCTGGAGCGCTACAGCACAAAACAGGTGGGATGATAAAGTAAACGTTTTAATATGTTTGTAATGTGGCAAGTTTTGACACAAAGCAGTTCTCACCTGGTAAATCTGAACTGAAATGACTCTGATTTTGTTATCCTCAACCCACCTTCCAGTGCAACCAGAACCAAAGTATAAGATAACTTCTTGTCCATTGGCCTCAGTGTGTAATTAATCCCCAGACTCTAATCTAAGGCAGGTGGGGAATTGGCATCTTTGCTGGCTACACACATTTGTTTCTGTCCTGCCTTGACTTTGTGTGGAGTGGGTGAAGAGCATAGACTGTAGACAAACTGGACCAAGCATGTCCCATTGATTGTCTACAGATATCAGACATAAGAACAGAAATAATCAATCATTGATACATTGGTAACAAAATAAATTTCTGTTCAGTTCCTATCTATTTTTGAATGAGGTAACACAATGTAGAATCAGCCCATCAGTTTGAAATAATTCCAAATCATTTTGTATATTTTGGCCACATTTGTTGATCCTGCTCAAAAGTATGATACCGTGAAAGTACTAGATATTATTCTAAACTACCCTACATTTGATGTCTTTTACAGAAAACTGTGCTTCATCTAATGAGCTCCAGGAACGAGATTGTCCGCCAATACATGGCTCGTCTCATCGATGCATTCGCTTCCCTTGCAGAGGGTAAGTGCCTAAGCATCATTATTTCTTTTGAACATGAGTCATTGTCTGACTGGATGCATTTGTAGAGTTAGTTTCAAGGTAGACCTCAAAAGCTTTTAGAATAACTTCCATTCAGTTCCACTAATGATCCCCTGCAGCAGCAACTTTGGAAATAAATGGACAATGTTGTTCAGAATGATATGAGTTATGCTGACACGCATGGCTGATTTGCAAGAACAAGGAACAGTTTTATTGGAAAGAAGGACTCTGGTAGTAGCTGCTTTTTAAATTTTCTAAAAGTTGGAAATTAAAAAACATATTATATATAAATTGTGAACCTCATGCAACTAAATGTATTCATAGTAACAGGTTGAGATGGTGGGAATATGTTTGCATCAGGTTTACCCATCATGGTGAATCTGGTCAGCTTTGATCATTCTGTTGTGAAATGTTTGGCTTTCACTGTTGAAGCCACTGCTTGTAACTTAGAATAAACTGGTGTATTTTAGTGTCCAGTGAGGCCTTAAATAAATAATGTTATTGCATTTTGATCTTAATTTGATTTTGTGTTAATCCTTATAGGTCGGGTTTACCTCTCCCACATCCCCATTCTGCTGAAACGTCTGACAGAGGCGCTGAGGATGGAGGAAAAAGACTCCGTAACGAGAGAGAACGTGCTAGTGGCGTTGCAGAAGCTCAGCCTCAGGTGAAACTCTACTCTTTCAAACTATTTATAAACTGAATGGTGTGTTTATCAACCAAATGAACCAAATCAACCCCTCACATCCGCAACCTCGGAGTCATTTTCGACAGTCAGCTCAAATTCAACCACCACATCAATCACATCACCAGGACCGCCTTTTTCCACCTCAAAAACATTGCCCGTCTCCGCCCATCCCTCTCCTCCTCTGCTGCTGAAACCCTGATTCATGCATTCATCACTTCACGACTCGACTACTGCAATAGCATCCTCTATGGCATACCATCCAACCTCCTCAATAAACTCCAACATATCCAGAACTCTGCTGCCCGCCTCCTCACCCACACCCGCTCCCGAGACCACATCACTCCCATCCTCCAGAACCTCCACTGGCTCCCCGTCCGTCAAAGAATCCACTTCAAAGTCCTCCTCATTACTTACAAAGCCCTCAACAACCAGGCCCCCCCCTACCTCACAGACCTGCTGCACCACCACACCCCTTCCCGCTGCCTCCGCTCATGATCAGAAGCCAACCTCCTATCCATCCCCACCCGCACCAATCACCGGACCTGGGGGGACAGAGCCTTCTCCGTCGCTGCCCCCTCCCTCTGGAACTCACTCCCACAACCCATCAGAGACTGCACCGACCTCACCACCTGCAAAAAACTCACAAAAACTCACCTCTTCAATCTGGCTTTTAATGTGTGATTGTTTTTGTATTATTTGACTTTAACTTTAACTATATATTTATTTGTTGTTCCTTTCTTCTCTTTTCTTTTCTCTTCACTATTATCTGTAAAGCGTCTTTGAGCACCTGTAAAAGCGCTAACAAATTAAATCTATTATTATTAAATGAAATACCAGTTTGTCGAATTAATTACCAATCATCACCTAATTGTGTTATTATTTTTGACTTGTATGGGCTAGTGTCATATAAAACAAATATCACCTTGACAAAAACCCCGAAGAAGCAACAGATTATTGAAATGAAATCTTCTATTTGATTTAATTTCAAATTAAATTCATGCCTGCTGTTTTGCTTTAAATATGATAAAACATCAGGGATCAAGTTTTCTGGATATCAACCAGAATTCCTTTCCCGCTCCGTAACACAAATGTTGTATGACATCTATAACTTTTTATTATGTCTTCTTGGTAGGAGGAGCCAGCAGACGGCCATGATAGCAGACGATCTGATTGGCTGGCTGGTGGATGAGCTGCAGGACTCTGACTGCCTGAGCGACTACACCCTGGAGTACTCTGCTGCTCTGCTCATGAACCTGTGTCTGCGAACAAAAGGTAAAGACGAGGCTCAGGTACATGAAGAACAGACCCACAGATTCATATTGCATGAGACCCCAAACTGTTGAGATTTGGCTGGGAATTTTCCTCACAATACACTTTTTCTTATATCGTTAAATTGATACAAAAAATACTCAATGGGAGTTTAACTCTCATTTATAAACCCACATTCATTCATAAATACAACGTTTCTCTCTTCATATATGGTATACTACTATATATACGTCCGGCAGTGGCTCAGTCAGTAGGGGCTTGGACTGTGAGCCGTAGGATTCTATTCTATACATCTTGCAGGTCCTCTTTACTATATATTGTGTTACTTGAATAGAATCCAAGAAACATATGGAGGAAATGTCATCTTATAAATACTAACTGATGTCACTGTAAATCAACTTGAATGTCTTACTAATGTATGTCTAACTGTTGGGTGATTTTATTATAGGCAGAGTAAAAGCCGATATATTTTTTTAGTTTTCGTTCAACACAACATTTGAGTTTTTACAACTTATTTCCTCTTAGACCATATCTGTAGTGTATCTGTGTTCATGTTACACCCCTTAATACACATATAGAAACCATCAACAGATATACTCTCCCTCTTTCTCACTACTTCAGTTTCAGTTTTCACTATCTCAGTTGCCCGGGGGCCTGCTGTTTATGCCAAAGTGAAAAAGCTGGACTGGTATTATCTTACAAACAGAGAGATAAAAGGAATGGAAAAACATTTGGAGAAAATCATGTTAATCAGTAAAAGGTCACCCTATCCTTAATCAAACAACTGAGTCACATTGTAGGAGAAAATGATGTGTGTGTGTGTGTGTGTGTGTGTGTGTGTGTGTGTGTGTGTGTGTGTGTGTGTGTGTGTGTGTGTGTGTGTGTGTGTGTGTGTGTGTGTGTGTGTGTGTGTGTGTGTGTGTGTGTGTGTGTGTGTGTGTTCTGTCTTTGTACAGGAAAAAGGAAGTGTGCGGAGAACGCCAAGCATGTGCTCAAGGTTCTAACTGACCTCCTTGGACATGAGAACCACGAGGTGACACACACATCCGCCCACACTGGCACACAGATGTTGCATGCCCAATGTTTGTTATGCTCATACACACATTCACAGAGGTAAAACAACATGGATGTGTAATACGTACAAAATAAACACATGCTCGTACACCTCTGAAAAAACTATTTCAGCTCTTGACTACAACTGTAATCAAAACACCTCAGAGGACTACACACAGCACTAATTTACAGCGTTCACATAGATACATAATTCAGCTTCACTACCAGCTGATCGGTTGGAATTTCAATCCAACAGACACATGCAGACTTGCCTTAAAACCACATTTATGATGCCTCCCGGAGTGTTTGAGTGTCTTGAAATGATCCATGACTTTAATTAAATCTATAAAAGATAAGCAACACAAGCTTCTTTCAATTGTATGAAAGGCCGTCAAGTCATTAACTCATTTAGTCTTGTAACGTACCATGACATACTTTTATATCTATAAAATAATCTTGTATTTGGATCCACTGCAAAAGATTGTTTCTTCTTTGTATCTGTGTTCCTTAGCTGGTGCACATTTCTAAACGTTTTTACCATTTGGCCAGAGAAAATAAAACAGAGGATGTGTGTATTTGTGTGTGTGTGTGCGCGTGTGTGTGTGTGTGTCATTTGCTCCACCAGATTCGACCATATGTGAATGGAGCCCTGTACAGTATCCTGTGTATTCCCTCTGTGAGACAGGAAGCCAAAGAGATGGTGAGATAGCACACATGTCTTCACCTGCTTAGAGGAAACAGACGCAGTTTGTGTTTTTTGCTCTGCGTTTGTCTCTTTATGTCACCACACAGCTAGTGTTTGGACAGGAAACAACAGGTGTTCACAGTCATATGACTCACTCTCTGTACAAAGATACAGGTGAGCGGGTGGGTTGTATCTGTGTCTCAAACACAGGTTGAAAATGTTCCTGCAATGACATTTGGAGTCGCAGGAGAGTATGTATGGCTCTGGGTCCATCCTGTCAAGCAAATGTATTATTTAAAGGTGACCTATCATGCAAAATGCACTTTTGTACGTCTTTTATACATGAATATGTGTCCCCGGTGTGTCAGGGAACTCACCAAGTGTCAGAAAACACAACCCTCTCTCTTTTCCTCCATACCCAAATCTCTAAAAACGGGGCTGCAACGGAGCTGATACAGATTTGAATTTTTCTGACGTCAGAAAAGGGGTGCTCCGCCCTTATGGGCAACTCTCCACCTATCAGGGGAATGGGGGGTTGGGCCACGGCCGGCCATTGCCACTCGAAAGCGCTGGAGACGCTGTAGTACATATGCCAGGCCTGTAAGTGGCGCTGTAGTCTGC